GATTATCATCATGAATCATCTCGGTTAAACTACAAAAATCCATGTGACTAGATCAATAATATTCTTTCAACGTGTCATCTACATTTGATCTTATACTCCTCTCTCGAATGCTTCTCAACTGCAACTTGTACATTCTATTCTTCCCATCTCTACTTGAACAATCAACTTTCCAAACTTGTTTTTCAATTGTATTACTCGGTCTTCCACGAAAATCGAATATCCTCTTTCCAACAGTTGTCCCACACTCAAAAAATTACTCTTTAGATTTGGACCATAAAACACATCTTAGATTGATCTGACTAGGTCATCCTTCTACAAGAAACAAATCGAGATCTCTAAGTCATCTTCAAAAGACACATGATCGCCCTCATATTTCTCCAATTTTCTAAATAGGTGCTCGTTCCCACACATGTGGTTACTCATATCTATATTCGGATACCATGCCGACTTGTGATTGGTATTTCTTGAACTCCATCACTGTTATTTCCCGTGTTAAGATCGAACATCAATAATATTGTTTTTTCAGCTTTTATCTCTTCCGTAAGATAAGGATCTTCCACCTTTTGACATTGTTTCCAATCTCACAACAATTGTAACACTTATTCGAGTAACAATCTTTTGCATAGTAGTCATACTCGTAACACTTGAAACACTCGATGTTTGAGTGACTCATCGACTAACCTCCTTTCTATCCATGTCTTCTTCCTTACTAGTTTTGTTGAGCTCCTTCTTCCTTCTTGTCACCTCGACCAGCGAATTCGCCTTGACCTCCTCGGCAAGATCATTGATGTGTGTCATTTTACTATTTATTACTTGATCTAAGAGCATTTTCTAAACTAATTATTTTCTTCATAAACCATGCATTTAACATGTTTTCATAAAAAGCATATAATAATTCAATTTTTCTTAATTTATTGCATTTTGTATAGTTTTAGCATAATAAATAATATACATGCATACATCCACAATGCATATTTATTTTTCTTCTTTAGTAGGAGAGGTAATTTGAGATGGGTCAAATTGATGGAAATAAATACCTAAATTGATGCAATCAAGCTTCACTCTTTTCAGAAGCCCAAGTTTGCTTGTACAATTCACTTGAAGAACGTTACAAATAAAAATTTTGAATCAAACAAATTAACTAGTGCGAGAATCCAATTTAGCTTGATTAAAGGTCAGCAGGAATCAAAAGTTAAATACAAATCAGTGTTGGATCACTCGAAATAGAAAAGAAGTAGATTATTTTCTCCAAATCAGTCCTAGAAATTTATCTTCACAGCAATCCAATTTTGTAACTTTTTATTTGGGAAACATTTGATTTTTTTGTAATTAATTTTAGGCTTAATTTCTCTTTTTTAATCCCCTATAAATAGAGGTACTATGACAACACGATCATAATCTCTCGAGGCGAGCTGTTGTTTTGTCTTGTCCGCGTTTTCTTTTCTGTTCTCAGCTTGTCTCATCCTCGTTTTTTTTTTCTCAACTTTTAGTTTAGTTTAGTTTTTAATTAGGTAAGCTCATATACTGCTACTGCACTTCCGATTTGATTTCTTTTATTTAATTTTTATTTTCTATTGAATTTTCCAGTTTATATTGTCCTATTTACTTTATTTATTCAATGCTCATTTTTATTTCTGTTATTTAATTTTTTGGAATTTTTATTTCAGTACTACTTAATTTTCATTTTCAATTCATCTCTTTTCCAATTCCAATTCTCAATTTAGTTTTAGAGTTATCGTTTCCGAAATTTCAAATTTAATTACTACATTATTTTATTTTAAATTAATTCTTGATTCTTGCACTTTTACACTTTATTTTAATTTTATAAATTTCAATTATATAAATTGTGCTTTCATTTAATTTTAATTGTCGTTAATATTCTATAGCAAGTTGATTTTAATTTTTATTATTTTACATCAATTTATTTTTTCACTCTTTCATTCATCCCCTATTTATTGTTATTTACTATTTTAGAGATAACGATATGTGGTAATGTGTACGTTACTGTAATTGTGTCATTGTGAGATTTGATACAAATTAGTTATACTGCATTAATTTAACAACTTGTTTATTAATTTTTATAAGTATTTTGTATGATCAAAATGGTGTCATCAATCATCCATCTCGAGACTGATCACTACGTCCTTTTCTTTTATTATTCTGAGAATAGAGTGTCTCCTCCTCTTTTGACTTAACATTGTATAATCGTCTCTTCCTTCATTTTCTTCCTATGATACTTATGGGCTCCAAGCAAACAAAACAATTTCTAAAGCGAGAGTTTGGACAATTTTTTAGATTCTTTTGTGACATGAACTTTTCTAAAACTAAACCCTGAACTCTAACTCTCATGAGAAAACCTGGCTCTGGATACCAATTTAATGACAAAAAATTCATGAAAATCACCGTTTGTACTTATATAACCTTAAAATCATTATATAACCTTGGCTGTAGTCTTTGCTCAATAACACAAAGACAATATAATATTTTATTACTGGAAATATGTTTTTATAATTACATTTTCTTTCTTTCACAAATTTGTCTTAAATTTTTATATTTTTAAATTGATCATTTCAATCATTAAACCTAAAAAAATTTATTTTAGTCACACACTCACACTCACACACTCACTGATTTTTCACCTTAATAAAATTGATAAAAAATGTGATTTTAATTATTCTTTATATATAAATTGATATTTAGCATCATTTTTTACCATTATAAAGTTAGCCTCTTTTTAATTTTTAAGTCTAATTAGTTAATTTTTAAAATATAAGAACTAGAACTCATTTTTTTAAAGAAAAATATAAACAGAGCTAAAAAGATGTTTTATTGTAAAATTCTATTCTTTACATTTTTTTCTGAAGGTCACAATCACTAAATAAACAACATTTTATGTTTTTATGGTGATTAAGACCTCAACAAACATAAAATTTTATATTTTTTTAAATTATTGTTTTAGTTATTTCTATCTACATATAATAGAATTATTTAATTTTTAGTTTTTTTTAATTCAATGATATATTCGGAACAAAATAAATATCTTATAGTCAATCATACATATACCATCTTTCTTAATTAAGATAAAAATTACGAATGTACTATGGTATACACATTAACTACAAAGATAAATTAAACAATATTCGAGGTGAAAGACTATATTGTATGTATATTTAAATTAAACAAGAAAAGGTTTACATACTATCATAAACCCCTTAAAAACAAAATATGAAGTTCGTTATGTCGTTTTATAATTTCATCTTTGAACGTTAATTACTAAATATCTATAAATTCAAATTTGTTTTTAATTAATAAATAATAAAATTCAAATTTAAATAAATAAGACATTGGAGTTAAGTTACATGTGAATGTTGGAAAACATCATGTACAAAATTACAAATTACTTTCTTACTCAATCACATACACTTGGTATGTCTATTTATTTAGCATGTGTCACCTTTGTAACATCTAGATCTATCACACGTCGAATCTACATTTAAATGGGATTTCGAATTTTTAATTTCTAATTTTTTTCTTAAACTAGTCATTTTAGTCATGGACTTACTTTTTTCAAATTGTTTGTGTTATTTATTTTATAATAATTATAATTAATCGTTGTTATTTTAAGATCAAATTTATTTATGCGTGTATCTCTCAACAGGTAATCTTTATTCATTCAAATAATTAATAAAGAGTAATACAATATTCTATTATTATATCGAAAATATCCTTTCATATCATTTTTCATATATCTAAAATAAAGAGTAATCCTTTTGTATTTCATATAATTTTTTTCTCATATATCATGATTTAGTTTGTTAACGTTTTAGTTATTACTGTTAAAAATATCATTACTTTAAAACATATGAAATGATAAATTATTATGTGGATATTTTCAGTGTCACAAACATGTGTGGCTCTATTTTTTTTGTAAGATATGTTTCACATAATTTATGTTGTATCTTAAATTAATGGTATTTTAATCAATAATGACTAAAAAATTCACTGAGTAAATTATAACATACGAGGATAAAAAAAATGAAACCCACAAATTTTTAATAACTATTATATGAGAAACATATTTTATATAAAAAAAACATAATATTACATATATGTTCTTACATGGTACTTAAAAATATTGACCTAATCATTTATATCTTAAACAAACGGTGTTTTTAATTATAATAACTAAAAATGAACGGATTAAATCATGATATATGGAGATTGAAAAAAAAAATATATATATATATATATATATATATATATATATATTATTGTATTCAAATATATTATATTAAGTTAGGGAAAAGACCAAGCTATGTGATGTGGTGTCATGGTGTGATCCTAACCACAAAACATTATTTGTTCGATTTAATTTAATTTTCTAATTTTTGAAATAATTTTAAAGATTATTTATTAAATAAATTTAATATGAATTATTTTAAACATAACTACGGAAAATCACAATAAAAGTTCAAACGTAATTTTAGAACTTCACAACCATGAAATAACGATATAGTATAATTATTAATAAAAATATAAATATTATTAAAGAAAAAATATTAAAAATATAAATATCTATAATTAATTTCTATTTTTATTTATTAAAAACTAAATAATAAAATATTAAGAGCCAAATTTAGTTTATATATACCTTTCTAGTGTAAATGTTTTTTAAAGACAAAATGATATTAAACAAAAATATTATAACTAATAATATCTTATACATACAAATTAATCCAAACGACAAAAATTAGAATACTAGAGTTAATAACTCTCATTCCTATATACAATATTAACGCCCATAATAGATTGAAGATAAAGTTCCACTCCTCTTGTATTGTTAATCCTCGACTAAAAAAAACTATGTTTCGATATTCTAATAAGTTTCCCATCATTTAAAAATTGAGATTAATAATAATTTATTTACCCTCCTCTCTTTTAGTACATTAAAACATCTTTTAAAAAAAAAATCCTAACGAATTAAAGTTGCAAAACCGAAGATGGAAGTGGATAATACCTACCCAAAAGTATCAAATTTTTCTGTATGTTTCTTTATATCTTTTCTTTCTTCCGTACCTGTGAAAGAGAAACTTGTAGCTGCCGACACTCACAACGGGACCACAAATCCATACCCAACTCTAATAATTCACAACACGAAACGCTGGTTCCAATCGCGTGTGGACAAATTCTCAATTGAAGAAAATTACCTCCAAAACTACAAAAGATGGTGGTGCCTCGCCGCCACCAAGAAAACGGAGCACCTCACAACCAAGGTAAAAGAGCTTGCAGAAGAAGCAGCAGAAGCAGAAGAGTTGTCACAGGAACAAAAAGATTAACGAATACAATATATAAAATTAATATATATGTTTAATTTCATGTTAAATTGAGAAAACTGGAGAAGCAGAAAATCAATCAATAACGGATCAAAATCATCAAAATTCCGACAGAACTCGCATATAACAAATTAATTTGATTTATTTAAAAAAAAACACGTGTTTTTTTAATTTAAATACATTATTTTCATAAATAAATAATTGTAATGTAGTAAAACATGTAATATAAAATTGTATATCAATTTAACTTTCATTTTTACCAATTTGTTATTTAATATTTAAAATACATATATTTTATTATTATTGAATGACTGTGAATTAGCGTATCTAAAAATAGAAAAATTGATACTTTGAACCCCAATTTCATATAACTTTAAAAGACAATCTATTTTTAATATTATAATAATAATTTTAATTTATTTTTATTAAATCTTTTCATTATTATTATTATATTAATAAAATGGGTTATATGAAAAGTTGTTGGAAGAGAAGAGGTGAAAATATCATTGCATTAAATGAGCAGTGATATTTTGACAATCTTCATAAAAAAACAACTCTAAATACAATTTATTATATTAATAAAAAAACAACTTTAAATACAACTTATTATATTAATATAATAATAATGAAAGAGATTTAATAAAAATAAAAATAAAAAATTAAAATTATTATTATAATATAAAATGCACTTGTTTAATGAGATGTTTGAATGAATAATGGTGTGAAAATATATTTTCCTGACCGATACCCAGATTATTTGTTCATCATCACTACTGGACCCATATTGACTTTTGTGACGCAAGTTGCATGCGTCATGAATTTTCTCAATGGAACCTTTTCATTGTGGTTCTCCATTCCCATGCTAGCATTCTTCATCTTACTAGCATATCGCCCCAGATTCAGTCTTCTATCCAAACTGAGTTCCAATTCAGAAAAAAACTCACCACCATCTCCTCCAAAGCTTCCAATCATAGGAAACCTCCACCAACTTGGCACCCTCGCTCACCGCACTCTCCATTCATTTGCTCAAACCTATGGCCCTCTAATGTTGCTTCACTTTGGGAAGGTCCCAGTTCTTGTGGTGTCAACAACTGAGGCTGCTCGCGAGGTTATGAAAATCCCATGACCTTGTTTTCTCCAATAGACCACATCGTAAGATGTCTGATTCCAAAGATGTGGCATCTGCTCAATATGGCAACTACTGGCGGCAGATGAGGAGTATTTGTGTCTTGCATCTTCTCAGTGCAAAAAAGGTTCAATCCTTTGGTTCAGTGAGAGAAGAAGAAGTCTCCGTAATGATAGAAGAGATTAAGCAGTGTTCTTCTTCTTTGAAATCGGTGAATTTAACTGATTTATTTTCTAAGTGTCAAATAACATAGTCTGTAGAGTTGCTCTCGGAAAGAGATACAGTGGAGAACGAGGGACTAAACTTCGGGAGCCATTGAATGAGATGATGGATCGGCTGGGTGGTATAGTTATAGGGGACTACATACCTTGGCTTGATTGGTTGGGAACAGCCAATGGTATGTATGGTAGGGCAAAGAGAGTGGCTAAACAGCTTGATGTATTTTTTGATGAAGTTGTTGATGACCATGTCAGTAAGAGAGAGCATGATGGGCATGGCTATGATGATGATGAAGAAGAGCAGAATGATTTGGTGGACATTTTGTTGAATATCCAAAAGACAGAAGCCACGGGGTTCCAGATTGATAGAACAACCATAAAGGCATTAATCATGGTATGTAAGATTAGTACAATGTGTCATTCCGCATTAGTTACTACTATTCTCTAATAGACAATTATTCTAGTTTCTAACTTCATAAAATCTCTACTTTTCTTGAAACATCATTTAGTTCAAATTTTAATGTCAAAAATGATATGAAAAAAGACTAAAAGTAAGAGAGATTTCAGAAATAAGTTAGGGCTAAAGTAAAGGTTTGATGAATGTTATTTTACAAGGAGACTGACGTTTACAAATCTTAAAAATAAAAGCCAAGTTAACTCATTAATTTTGCATCTCCAACATTGATGCAATGTTAGAAATTGTCTCTTCAATTGATATTATATTCGGTGAATTCATTTGGGCTTCGTTAAATAATGCCAATTTCATTAGGTCTGGTGTTTAGGAAATTTTGCGGACTTTCTCTCCATGATAGAGTCTATTGCAAAGAGTTAAAGTTTTCATCAGCAAAAGTTAGCTCAGATAGTAGTTGCACACAATCTTAATACACGTTGAGTTTATTTTCCTTCATGGAAGTATATATATATATATATATATATATATATATAGATTTTGACAGTTAATAGCATTTCTTTCAGGATATGTTTGTAGCGGGTACTGAAAGTACCTCCTCAATCCTAGAGTGGATAATGACAGAACTCTTGAGACACCCAATTGTGATGCAGAGCTACAAGGTGAGGTCAGGAATGTGGTTAGTAGTAAAACTCGCGTGACTGAGGAAGATTTAAGCAGCATGCATTACATGAAGGCAGTGGTTAAAGAAACTTTTCGATTGCATCCCCCAGCTCCCTTATTGCTTCCAAGGGAGTCCATGGTAGACACTAAAGTGATGGGTTATGACATTGCAAAGGGCACACAAGTAATAGTGAATGCTTGGGCAATTGGAAGAGATCCTTCTTATTGGGAGCAACCTTTGGAGTTCCAACCAGAGAGATTCTTAAATAGTTCAATAGATTTGAAAGGACATGATTTTGAAGTGATACCATTTGGAGCAGGAAGGAGGGGCTGTCCAGGAATAACGTTTGCCATGAATGAGATTGAACTGGTCCTAGCAAACCTTGTTCACCATTTTAATTGGGAAGTGCCTAGTGGAGTACAGGGGCTTCAGACACTAGACATAGCTGAAACTACTGGGTTGTCCATGCGTAGAAAATTCCCTCTCATGGCAATTGCATCCCATCCTGCATAAGAATGTTCAAGATAAAATGATTAATTAACGCCCTTTACTTTACTTCTTTGGCATTCTAGATTGGGTCTTTGTTCTGTCAAAATAACCAAATGTACTTGCGAAATTTATTATCTAATATATTAAATAAAAGTTGTCATAATTATCAAACTTTCACTAAGATATAACCCAACTCCATCAATCATTTACTGCATGTTAAAATAAAATTTAAAATAAAACCAATTATTAACATGATCATGAGATGCCTAACATTAAGCTTACCTATACTCTAGTAGGCCAATCGATTCCTATACTTTATGAAGTTATATTCAGCAAGTCTGTCAGCACATGCACTGTCTTGCCATTTCTTGTTCTACACTGTGTTTATTTGCAATGCATACACGGGAGAAGAAAGATCTTTAATTTGACAATATGGATGAGTTCGTTGAAGAAGAGTGCAAACAAAGGAGAAGGAACGAGAACGATTTGCCAGAAAGGGAGATGAGAAAACGTGATGGGTTCATGATAATTGCAAGAAGATTATGGTGGTGTTAACGTATATTCTTAAATTATTTATTTTAAATATTTATAACTCGTATTTTTTATTATGTTCTAATTCGTATATTCATATATTAAAATATAAAAAATAGAAATTTAGAAGAAATAAACTAAAAGAAAATCATAAAAAATAGTTTTTTTTTTTTATATATGTTAAAATGTTTTAATGTTTGGAAAGAGTTCTTAGACTAGCATAACTACTAAATGATTTGGATATAAAATAAGTAAATAATTGAAAATTTTCTTTTATAGTAGATTAATCCGAGTTTGATATATGTGATTATTAATAAAGTGAGTAATTTTAAGGAATTAAATTGAGATTAAATAAACATTAAATTATTTATTTGTAAAAGTAATAAAATTTGAAGGATAGTTTAGAAAAATCATAGTATCTTTTTGTACTAGTGTCTCCTTAGAAACTTAATAAAATTTAAGATATAAAATAAAATAAATGATTAAACTAAATGTAGAAATTTATTAAATGCTCGTCTCCGTAGATCTTAACATAGACATTTAGGTACGAGTGTGTAACATGTGAGATAGACAAATAAAAAATTGTGCCAATTTTGAGGTTAAGTGTGTTTCATGACCAACAATGCACATGGAAAAAGATGGAGGTGTGGAAAATTGTGTAAAAACACTTTCCTATCTTGTTTGTTTCTGCTTAATGGTGCGAAAATAAAAAGTTAAATAATATTTATGTTATATCAATCTAACTAGATTGATATTTAATTATTTTAATATTTTATTTTATTATAATAACAACAAATAATTAAAAAATATATATTAAAATACTTTCTAGAAGGCCTCACATGTTTTACACGGGCTCCTTAACTTATACCACGTTACTTGTAAAGGTTTATATACAATGTTATTATTAGTTACTTATGATGTTTATGTGTTATAAACTATGCAATATGTGTTTATATTAATTTAAATTTAATTTTTATCAATTTTTTATTTAATTATTATCTAATATTCAAAATTCATATTTTTTATTATTATCAAAGGACTCTGATTCGATATTGATTGAACGAGTAATCTGTCAATTAGTGTATCTAAAAATTAGTATACGCCTTATACACTATATTAAAAACACTTTTTTAATAATATGTTTACTGATTAAAGTTTATGAAAAATTATAAAATAATTAAATAAACTATTAAATTTTCCAAATTTATGATTTTTAATACATTTTAATTAATAAAAAGTACATTAATTAAAAATCGTGTTAAATATTATTTTCATTTATATTTACTATGCTCTCAGATTTTTTTTTTCAACAATACTGGGCCCATCATGACTTTTGGGATGCAAGTTGTCATGAATCAACGATCCCTCGTGAACATGTTATATACGTAACAAAATCAACAAATTACCAGTTACAAAATCCAGTAGTGATCATAATCTTCAAGCAGAAGCTAATGACGTATTTTCTCAGTGGAACCTTCTTCTTGTGGTTCTTCATTTCCATGTTAGCATTCTTCATCTTACTAGCCTTTCCCACAATATTCAATCTTCTATCCAAACTGAATTCCAATTCACACAAAAAATCACCACCATCTCCTCCAAAGCGTCCAATAATAGGAAATCTCCACCAACTTGGCACCCTCACTCACCACACTCTCCAATCCTTTGCTCAAACATATGGCCCTTTAATGTTGCTTCACTTCGGGAAGGTTCCAGTTCTTGTGGTCTCAAATACTGAAGCAGCACGTGAGGTTTTGAAAACCCAAGACCACGTTTTCTGCAACAGACCACATCGTAAGATGTTTGATATCTTCTGGTATGGTTCCAGAGATGTAGCATCTGCTCCATATGGTCACTACTGGAGGCAGGTGAAGAGTATATGTGTGTTGCATCTTCTCAGTGCCAAAAAGGTTCAGTGCTTTCGTAAAGTGAGGGAAGAGGAAGTTGTAGTAATGATAGAGAAAGTTATGGAGAGTTGTTCTTCTTTGGTGCCAGTGAACTTGACTGACTTGTTCTCTGATGTGACAAATGATATAGTGTGTAGGAGTGTTATTGGAAGGAGATATGAAGGGAGTGAGCTTAGGGGGCCAATGAGCCAGTTGGAAGAGTTGTTGGGGGCTTCAGTTATAGGGGACTATATACCTTGGCTTGATTGGTTAGGAAGGGTTAATGGAATGTATGGTAGAGCAGAGAGAGTGGCTAAAAGGCTTGATGAATTTTTGGATGAGGTTGTCGATGAGCATGTTAGTATGAGAAGCCATTATGGGCATGGTGATGATGTTGATGGTGAAAGGCAGAATGATTTTGTGGACATCTTGCTGGGGATTCAGAGAACAAGCTCCACCACAGATTTTCAGATTGATAGGACTATCATTAAGGCTTTGATCATGGTAAGAACATCTATCATTTGTTTTTATGTTAGTTCTTATTACTTATACTCCTTTCAACACATATTCTCCTCACTGAGTTGAAAATGAGAAAATGATGTATATGAACACTGCCATACATACAGGTTGAACTAGAGAGAGAAAAAAAAAACGAAAGAAAGAAGTATAAATATGATAGAGTGTCACGTTTAATTTGAATAGAGTAATCGTAATGTTAAATTTTACAAAAATATTCTCGGAACCTTCGTGACATGTATTTCAGAAGAGAGAAGAAAACAAAGTAAGGGTGAATAAGAAGTAATAATATTATATATCAATAAAAAAACTAATAATTGAGTTAAAAAAACAAAGTGTGTTGCTGTTATTTCTATTATCAACTACATTATTTCTTTTATTTTTTTGGATTATATACCTACTAATTTATCTGGTCCAGGTTGGTGCAGAAAATTAACATCAGGACTCGATACTTGTAAATGGCTTTGGCTGAATTTGTAATGAGAAAAAAGCTTTAACCTATAAAAAGATTGAATAGATGAATCAGGATAAGGTTTTGGACTCATTGAGAAAGAGAGAGAAACTAATGTTAAGTCTTCATGCAGCATTTGTATGACCACAAAAAAATATAATATGATAAAAATTTAACACGACAGTAATCGATTTCATATTATGTGGCGTGTGTTTTTACCTTGTGGTATATGATTCTTACAGGATATTCACTTGTTTATATTATCCTCAAATTATAAACTAACATATATAATAATTAAGTTTGTTAATTTTACTAATAAGTATCCCAGAAGTCTTAATGATTTCTAAGTACCAATTAAGTTGATTAATTACTAACCATATATTGTTTGAGTTTTCATTTCAGGATATGTTTGGTGCAGGAACTGATACTACCCTTGCAGTCCTAGAATGGGCTATGACAGAACTCTTGAGGCACCCCAATGTGATGCAGAAACTACAAGTTGAGGTGAGAAGCATGGCTAGGGACAAGACTCACATAACTGAGGAGGATTTGAGTGGCATGTCTTACTTAAAAGCAGTGATTAAAGAAATTCTTAGATTACATCCTCCATCTCCCATATTGATTCCAAGGGAATCCATGCAAGACACCAAAGTGATGGGCTATGACATTGCAATTGGCACACAAGTACTAGTCAATGCTTGGGCAATTTCCACAGACCCTTCGTATTGGGATAAACCTCTGGAGTTTCAACCAGAAAGATTCTTGAGGAGTTGGATGGATATCAAAGGACATGATTTGGAACTGGTTCCATTTGGAGCAGGAAGAAGGGGTTGTCCAGGAATAGCTTTTGCCATGGTTGTGAATGAGTTGGTGCTTGCAAACATTGTGCACCAATTTGATTGGACTGTGCCTGGTGGAGTGGTGGGGGAACAAACACTTTGTATGTCTGAAACTACTGGATTAACTGTTCATAGAAAATTACCCCTTGTGGCTCTTGCATCACCTTATATGTAATAAATTAAGTGAAGTATTACAAATAAAAGTGCAAACATTATTATTTTATAATATAATAAAACATTCATTACACAATTTAATTTATTAATATAATAATTATACAAGGATTTTATAAAAATAAAAATAATTTTAAATTATGATTATATTATTAAATGAAATTGTGGTGAATAGAGATTGTGAACTTATTTTTTGATAGATGTATAAGTGGGTGACGTTGTTTCACTTTTTATAGTAAAACCATACATAGGCACATACAGTAGATCTTATCATGATCAAAGTCTTCACAAATGTTCAATCCTAAATATGTGGCGCTCGTCTTTTGAATTGACAGCAAAATGTCCACAAAATCATTCTGGCCATCACCATTCTTTTAACATGCTCCTCAGCGATATCACCATAAATTTGTTTATTCATTACTATTTATCTTTCTCGTAACTCTACCTTTCCTACACGTTTGAGATGAAAATATTTATTAACCAAAATATAAATTTGTATAATTGTACAAAATAGTATATAATTAGAACTTACTTTATTTAATTCTAATTTGTATGTAAAATACTATAAGAACATAGTATTTATATAAAAAACATACATGAATAAAATTATAAAATAAATTTTATGTTTTTTAA